GCTTACATCAGAACACAACAGGACATTCAGCCAGATTTTTGAAGACGTTTAAACACCTTTTGGGAAATCTTTGTCCATTGTGTTGGATCACATCAATTCTGTTAGCCTACGGTGCAAGCCAAAAGAAAAGAGAAAGACTCTTGGATAGGTGTTAAAATGTCTTCAAAAAACTGTACGAAATTGGTTGCCTTCTAATTTAATTCTGTTTTGTGATGTTTAACCTACATTACAGGGCATGATCCATTCTCGTTCTCCATTTCTCATGGACGCATTTTAGCCAATATAAAAGAATTTTTGAAAGACAAACACAAAAGGAGTAACTCCAGCAACCATTTTGGTAATTTCCTCCCTATTTATCTGACCTGGTAAAGAGGAAAAACAATTGGAATTTGTTAAATTAGTGGTATTATAGATTTATTGCTGTTGCATTACAAGGATAAAATCTATGATACTTTTATCTACTTTTAGTTATATTTTATTAAATAGAATAAACAAAACTGATAAGTACATAAAGTAAAGCTTTTGGTCAATATTAGATGCATTAAGTTATTTTAAATTTTAAAAATCTTATCATCAGGTCTATGATAATTTTGTTTGCGCTGTTTCAGTATGTTTGACAAATATTTCTCACAGGGAGTTTTCTATCAGGATCGATCCACCTCTTTTCTCCCTGGTGTGGTCTGTCATTTCAACATGAGCAGGGGACTTGACCAAACGTCAATATGTGATGAGTGAGACTGTATTTGTCATACAGATGTTCATAAATGTATTACTTATACAGTTTCAGTTTTATTCTATGTGACATCCTTAACATTAGGAACTTTAAAACAGCTAGATTATAAATAATATAATAATATAATTGCAGATAGACAAACTGAGAATAAGCTTTCTTTAGTGTTGTCTGCCACTGAGAGTGATAAAGTAGGTGAGAGAATCCTCTACAACAGACCTGTATTTATTTTTTTCTGTAAAACGTAGTAACATTTTATTGTTAGCATTTGGGCATTTTAGAGAATTGCAGATACAGACAGACGGACAGAAGAAAGGGCAGGAGGATGGACAGACAAATATATGTGTAAAATGAAAGCGGTATAGATGTACACCATTATATTTAAATTTAATAGGTTTTTCAGAAAATATTGTGTTGTCATTCAGAAATTATTAATATCTAACACAGGAAATATTTTGGCCAGTTCCTGATTACTTTGGTAGGGAGTGAACCATCTTAAGTGTGTTTTTATGTTACATTAATATGCTGCAAAGAAAAAAAATCCACCTCTCGATCATTGTGTCTTGAAGTTTAAAGCTAAAATATATTTGTTATTTTGGCAACTGCAACAATTAAAATTAATTAATTTTGTTCAGCAGTTCAGTACAACCAGTCAAGCAATGCTTCCTTGCTCTTTGTTTACAAAAAAGGGGAGGTTTCACAAAAATACAAGAAAGGAACAAATTGATCCTGCTCAAGGGATGTTGTAAAATTTGTTATTATTGCCCAGCCGTGTAAGTAGACATAGTCTATTTGACACAGTTCTAATTTTCAAGAGAGACCTGTTATAACTATGAGGTTGTCTACATGATGGTTCAACTCAGAATTAATGTAAGTGGCATTTTTTTTTAAATTGAGGACAAAAATTGGAAGGAAAACAGCTAAAATAGCCATTTCTTGTGAATGCATTTATTATTTAACCTTTCTTGCAGGCTGTATTCTGACGCTACTTGTGTGTTTACAAATACATGGAAATCCATCTTGTTCCGCTACCTAAGTACTGTATTATTGAGTACGTCGGGATATTCAGCTGTGAAGAAAGCAAGAAGTGCTACAGATACAGACATACTAAGGAGAAGATTAACTGCTCGGACTGAACGCACCTTTAATATTTGATGCCTTTGAGCCTTTATCATCACTATTCCCATCAATAGGTGGTGAACTCAGGGTTAGGGATTTGTTCTTTGCAAGCACATGCTTTATGATTGTGGTCCAGATGGACTCAGCATAGGCTACATATTGCACTGCCTTTAACCCTTTAGTCATACGCTTAAATTGTGAAGCCTTTACTAGGTCTGGTCAACATTTTCTTAGAATTGTTTGAAAAAATGCTATTTGGTAAAAGATTGTCCAATGCTATCCTATTTTTCTACTGAGATAAACTTACTGAAATGATGCTCCACACATAAAGACTGCAATTTCTGTGAGGGACATGGGATAAGTTTAGCAGATAACTGATCATCTTAGTTCAAGAACACTCATTCTGCCCACATGACAAATAAAGTCAGGAGTTATAACAGAAATGCAAATCTTTTGGAAATTAAGCTTGTGTGAGCGATGCAAACATTAACTGTTAAACAGAGCGTGAACAAGGAGAAATAGGCTTGTGCACGCTCTCACACATGTTTAACAGGTGTTCCCTCTCAGGAGCGGGTACAGGGTTGTGTATGTGCTTTTTTTTAAGTGGATAGGGTGGGTTTTTTTCACAAATGCGTGAAAATTCTCCAATATATGATAATGATAGTATACATTTTAAGAGGTATACATTTATGACTCATTGTATAATTTAAGTACTGTTTATTGCTAATTTTTTATGTTTTTTTGCATGTTTTGTATACCTATGTATTTATTTAATTTTTTTTTATTTCTGTGTTTATTTTTTGTGTCAGAGTTGGTCCTCCTTATAAGAGCACTGAGAATTTTTGTGAATGTGGATGTTATCCACAAATGATGGATGTTAGAAGGCACATGGTCCTCACCAAGCCTTAAATTATGTAATTAAAAAGTTATAACATATTACACTTGTGTTTAAATTTGACATAAAAAGAAACATCTATTTNAGCACTGAGAATTTTTGTGAATGTGGATGTTATCCACAAATGATGGATGTTAGAAGGCACATGGTCCTCACCAAGCCTTAAATTATGTAATTAAAAAGTTATAACATATTACACTTGTGTTTAAATTTGACATAAAAAGAAACATCTATTTAGAACCTTGGAGATTTGAGGGCTCAAATGCCTTATAAGAAAATAAATATCCTGATGAGTGTTTATAAAATTCAGATTCTTCATCCATAAAGAAATTAAATGATCTTTCTTGTCTTTTTTAGTGCTCTTACGTGACAGTGGTATCCTCCAGTGGACCAGCAATTTTATGATCAACTAAACCTCAGTAGATCATCAAGGATTCAAAATGGCTTTATAATAAAAAAGCCTCCTTGTGTGCAAACCACCAGACTTATTCCTAGCACGACATTTGCATTGATATCAGCATGCAGCCAACAGGTGTGTATCTCATAGTGATTGAGACATCTGCACAATTAAGGCAGCTTGTTTCCATTTGGCAAATTAAATATTATTTAATACAGTTTGTAGATAAAGCTGACTAATAAATTCTTATTTTTCTATTTTTATTTATAATTTTTTTTTTGTGTGTCTTTTTCAGGAGAGACCAAGCCTTTTGGAACTTTACAGAAAATCCTCAGACCGCTCCTCTTTAGTATTTTTATTTTTGGATGTTTTCTCTCTGCCTTTTTGATGTACTATGTACCCTCCACTAGCTTGTTAGGTCCACCTTTAAAGCCACCGAATTATGCAAAACACCACCAACATGTCTTAACAGAGAAGAAAAAAGAAAACTTGACTATCATTCTTGTTTGGCTCCTGCCTTTTGGTCAAAACTATGACATGAATATCTGTGGCTCCACCTTCAACATTGAGGGTTGTTTCATTACAGCAGACAAAAGGTTCTACAATAAATCGGATGCTGTCTTTTTTCATCACAGAGATATTGCTTGGGACCTATCCAACTTGCCAAAATTACAGCGACCCCCGTTGCAGAGATGGATTTGGATGAACATGGAGTCCCCGTCAAACTCACCCCAGATGCCTGGGATTAACAACTTGTTCAACCTAACTGTGAATTACCGCCAGGATTCTGACATCCAAGTGCCATATGGATCTATTGTAGAAGCAGAGACTGTGGAGGACTTTGTACCACCAAGCAAAGACAAATTAGTCTGCTGGATTGTGAGCAACTGGAACCCAAGTTATACCCGGGTTAAATATTACAAAGAATTGCAAACACATATTACGGTAAATACATATGGAAATGCCTTTGGGAAATACATTGCTGACAAAGATTACAACCCTACTATATCTAGCTGTAAATTCTATTTGTCCTTTGAGAACTCAGTCCACAAGGACTACATCACTGAAAAACTGTACAACCCCCTGTCTTTGGGCACAGTGCCAGTGGTTCTCGGCACAAGCAGACAGAACTATGAGAACTTTGTTCCAGGAGATGCCTTTATCCATGTGGATGATTTCAAATCACCCAAAGAACTGGCCGAGTACCTGCTTCTTCTGGACAAGAACCAAGAATTGTACCACAAATACTTTACTTGGAGACGATACTTTAATGTCAAAAGATGCTATTTCTGGGCCGAGCACACATGCAAGGCTTGTGAATACATAAGAACACATAAAGAATACAAGGCAATCAATAACCTTAACAAATGGTACTGGGGCTGATGGTATTCAGATGGACAATGAAATACTCTCTATTCAGATAAAGGAACTAATACCACCTTGTCCTACCTCATCCCAATCTGTCCTACCTCGTTCCTGACCTACCTTCCTTCCTTCCTTCCTTCCTTCCTTCCTTCCTTCCTTCCTTCCTTCCTTCCTTCCTTCCTTCCTTCCTAACTACATTGTAAAGCCATGAAAATCCATAAATGATTGAAAAATAGGAGAAAAAAATATTATGATATTGAGAGAAAAAATTGTATGAGAATACAAGAAAATATTTACATCCTATTTGAAGAGATAGAAAAGGAGGAGCATTGGGAGAGAACTATTCAAAGTCCTGTGTGCCTTTTTATGTGGGTCTTCGTGCAAAAATGAACAGTAAGATAATCAAACATTTATTCTATATATTCCATTGGTGTAAAAAAAAAAAGAATATGCTCTTATGAGCTGGAAGAAATAAATTACAACAGACAAAAGCATTGTTTACGCTTTGCAAATGGTGTTAAAACATATAGTTTAAGTTGGGAGGAGAAACACAGTAAAGTGAACAGAGTATTTTGAGACAGCAAAAAGCAGCTGAGCCCACCATGGACCCAAGCGTGCACAAAGACGGACTTGTGTGTCAGCACAGCCGGCGGAGAAGAAATTGTCAGAGTTAAATGTGATATTGAGCCAATGTGTGTGAGATTTTAACACTGCACACCTGTCTTAACTATTAACTATTGGAACTAATGTGATAAAGTTGGTCTCACAAAATAACAGGTCATTCTGAAACTCTATACCATTTCTAAATCTTTTTAGCGGTATGAAGTATCAGACCATTCCAGTTTAATTTCATTTCCTGCTACTGTTACTCAGTGCTTTCTGTAACGTAATTCAATATATATTAGTCAGGCTGCTATAATGGGAAATGCTCCAATGGGAAATATTAACATAAAGGGTAAACAGGGTTTTCTGAATAATCAAGTTGCAACTGCTTTAACGAAGAACATAGTGTGTTATATATATTTCCTAAGCTTTAAATATATTTTTTAACAGTGGGAAGATAATTAGTCCTCTCTATTTTAAATGTGGGTTACACTTTAAGTGTTAAAACTGAGACAATGCTTATGGAGACAGGGGAATGATGGTAAGTTTTTTATATATTTAAATGTAACTTTGGCAGTTGAATGAATGCAAACATGGAAATAAGTTTACATTATGCTACTGAACACAATGTGTGAATTAACTTAACTACATGCCTTGGCTTGTCCAACATAATTTTTATAATTAAATAACAATAATGCCTTAATTTAAGGGTTTTATGTACTGAATGTTCACGCAATGTTTGTATTTTGACATTTGTGTAGTTACTCTAGATCACTTTTAAATAATGAAGGGAATAAAGACATGGTTAAATGAGCAAACTTGATTGAGCTTTTCTTGTTTGAATATTAAATATGCACATCCAGACCTGGTGTGTGGGTGGATACTAAAATGCTGATCACTTTGCAGGGTTTTTTTTCTGGAAATTTCCAAGCTCTAGCCAAAGCTTTCCATAGTCAGTGCCTGGGACTCCTTCATTGTGCATATTCCCTGCCTCAATGATTACTGAAATTCTTTGAAAGGAATTCTCCTAAAGTTCATTAAGAATACCATCCCTGCTAGCCTTGAGGGTCTGCAGTTCAGTTATAGGGACAATGTGCCTCATGTAAGAACTGTTTGTAGGAACACATACATTCTAAAAGGAATAGTACACCCAAAACATGATTAGCCTTCATTTTCTACTCACCCCCATGCTGAACAACACTCTGGAGTACTTTTTTGATATCTCAA